ATGGAGTCAGTCATTTGGGCAAGTTAGGGCAAATCCCCATCCCAAGTAAGTCGTAACTTCGGTATGGGGAGAAAGGAGTCTGCCAGACTGTACGGCAATGCCTGGTCAAGCACAGAGCTGACCCCCCCCCTTTCCCTGTCCGCTGCCTGACTGTCAGTAAACCACTTGCTCTTTGTATTTCCTTAGAGTTCAACTAGGATAAGGATGAAAACTTTCAACTTCACTTTCCTCGGGCTAAAATAAGTCAAACTGACTAAGAGTGAATTCCATGAAAGCCGGCCCCATATAGAAGAACAGACATCAAGGTGTCTGTCAGTAAGAGTAATAACCTCCTCTTTTGGTGTTGAGGAGGTTGTGATATCACTTGATTTATAGAAGTTCCTGCTGTTACCCTAAATTGTAGATTTTAATTTTATGAGTCAAAAGAAAATTGAATGGAAACAGATAGTATCTATATTTTTATTGTATGGAGGTGACATGCACAGTGTTCATCAAATGCATAGTACTCTTTAACTTTTGGCCTACCCATGCGGCATGCCCACTTTCTTCTGCTGTCCACCATCTCCAGTGGCTTCAAAAGGGAGGACGAGACTCATTTCCAAGGTCTTATAACTGATTAGACAAGATGATGCTGCCGTTATTCCAGCTGTGATGGGGAAAGGCAGGTCCTGGACCCATCTCTCCTCTTAACCTGCCTGTCGTCAAAATTTCCTTTCCCCCGATCTCCCTTTAACTGAATGGAAGATTAAGGGTCATGTCTTTTCCAAAGACTCTTGAGATACGCTGCCCAACACTCTCCACCGCCATTATCTGCATGAGGAATCACTGGTTTGTGGTAAGGAAGCTGGGGCACCTTGTGATCTGCTTGAGTTTATGTGAATGCCACAAGCAAGACCTTGGAGCAGCCTAGCCTTGCATTTAACTTTGGTAGGTTTTTCCCAGTAGACTGTATGCGAGAGCTTTATAGGCTTTCTGAGATGTCCAGACCACCCCTGGAGGTAGATTACTCCCATGTTATTCACTCTCACTTTACAGAACAGCTGAGACATGCAGCATTCTTTGTTTGGAATACAAGCATTGAGGACTTCATCTTTGAATTTATCTCCCCAAAGAGAAATGAGAAAGACTCTGCTTACTGTCACAGAAAGGAGCCATGCCATGAATGGCAACTCTTTATGCTCAGTTAAAAAATAACAAGATCTCTATTTAGCTTTCCTTATGATAGATTAAAAAACACTAATAAATAGACATGACCGACAGGTGCAATCAGAGAGAAGGGCCACAAGCAAAAATGGCGTTTTCATTTGGCATACCTGCCATTGGCCAGCTACAGAGGAAAAGTCAAGATAATTGAGATGAAATGAAGGGAGAGCTAGTGCTAGTGTGCTACCTTATTCTGGCCAGCTCCCCAGGATGAGTGGAAGATGGCGAATGATTTCCATGTTGTTTGAATGATAGGTACTTTATTCTATACACAGCACAAATAATGAGTATTCTGGGGCTTGTTCTTCACAGTGGTCCACTTCACAGCCACCTTGCAGAGAGTCCATCTGCGTGTTCGTGCGGGGCGGAGGCACTGCTGGATTGAGGCTGTAGACTCTCGGGGCTCATGAATTGTATCGTTCTTTTAACTCTGCTTATTCAGCACTTAGCAGGGGAATGGCTGAATTTAGGCATTTAATTAAGACTTATGGCTAATGACAGTAAGAAAAAGCTTTCAGGCTAGAAGTGATGCTAAATGCTAGAACAAGTTTGTCAGAAGAGGGAATCCTAATTTCTGCCATCAATAACAAGAACACGATCTGTCAGTTAGGACTTTGAGGTCCAAGTATTGTTCTGACCAGAGGCGGGGGACAGACCAGAGGACCTTGTTTGTTTTCGCCTGGAGGTCCAGTGGAAAGTGGACTTAATACTCTGGATGTTTTTTCTCTCCCCCATTTTTTAAATTTTAAATTGCAGTTCCAATTTTCAGTGTCTCTAATGTGCTAACGGGCTTTCCTCCCATTAAAAAACACATGTGGATGTGAGAATGTTCTCCTTGAGAAAAGATGGTGTCTAGGGTTTTGCTTCTGGCCTGAGGTCCTATGAGGTAGGTGTGATGGAACCTCCTCCGCAGCAGGCCGGGGTGCCAGCGAGCCTCGGTGGGGGTCGGCAGCTCTTCCGCTAACTTTGGCAGGAGAGGGAGACACTCAGCCACTTTAAAAAGAAAGAAGGTAAATTTTGCGATCCATTTGCAAATCCAGAGAGAATGAGTTTCCAGACCTGGGCATATGTTCAGACACCTATTTATTCTCTTCTACCATTAAACCTTGTAGGTCACAAGTAATCCAAGTTCATGTTTCTCAGCCAGATGATCATTTTTCCCATCTTAGATTGTTGGGGGGAAGCTTAGAGGGCATATCAAGAAGGAAGGGAGGGGAAGGGCCAGGGGAGGGGCAGTGCTGGGGACATGTCCAGTGCTTCAGGTGGCTAACAGTAGCATGGTGGCCCTGGGTTAGGATTTCGAGAAGTCAGGAGGAGGAGGAAGAGAGGCGGACAAGTGATTCCCAGCAGGTGATAGTTCACAGTTGAAGCAGGGGCTGCCCTAGGACCCCTAGGAACAAGGACTATAGAGGGAACAACCCTCAGTTACAGAGTATAGGAAGATTGAGGGAGAGCGATGCTCTTTCGGTTTTTCAAGTAAGGAGAGGATTAGACTAGAATTTTTTATAAAGCATCTTCTCCTATTTTCTACGATTCTGTGATTCTGTGACTTTCCTCTGTAGCAGGGTGGTTTTGATAGTTAGCAAAGAGAAGAAAGATCTTTTGAAAAGATTTTTTTTTAATTGCAGCCTGAGAATTAAGTTACGCAGCTGAAGTCCACTTTTAAAACTCATTAACTCATCGGCATGCATACTTTCTTAAGCCATGATGACTTCATGGTCTAAGTTAAAATTTCATATTCCTTTGGAAAATTGAATGAGCATAGCCAAATCAGCAGAAAATTATCTTTGACTAGTAGATGTTATTTCTACACATAATGCTTTGCCTAAAAAAATAATGAATCTGGGATTTAAGCTTGATGGCTGAGAGTAAGAGCCATTGCCTCGCATTTGCTTTTACGGTCCCAGGAATTATCTTAGATGTTATGCACGCGCTTATTCATTTAATCCCCAGAAGAGCTCTACCAGATGAGTTCGTACTAAACCCCAATTAAACCTATGAGGAAATTGACGATTGAAGAGATTAAGTAACATGTCAGGGCTAGGATTAGATTCTGGGTCCAGCAGCTAACTCAGAGCTCTCCTGTGAGCCAGCACTCTCTCCCATCCTGCACGTGTCCCAGAGGGTCAGTGGAATGGACCAGCCTGGGCTCCAGCCATCATACTCGGGCGGGATTAAGAGCATGACACTGTGGGGGTAAGAGAACTACTTTGCATGTCAAAGCATGAACAAGGAAGGAGTCTCAGTTCCCATCAAGTGTAAAATGGGTCAGTAAGCTATGTGATACCAGTCAGTTGATCATTTATTTCCTGAACACGGGTTTATAATTCTCTATCTCTAGACAATAACAACAACAAAAGCTAACAGTGGGTGCCGACTCTGTCAAGCCCTGTTAGAAATCTTTTATGTCTATTAATTTGTTGAAACCTAACAACCCCATGAGATAGATATTACTATTTTCCTCATTTTCCCGATGGGGCAAACTGAGACCCAAAGTGGTACATGTAGGAACTCAGCTAGGAAGTGGCAATGCTGGGTAGTGGGCCCGGGCTCTGTAGCCATTATTCTAACCTGCCTCTCAGCAGCAGGCTTTGGCAAATCTGAAATATTTGCTTCTAGGACGCAAACAGGACTTATCATCCTTCAGAGTGGGATGAGGCCAAGTAGAATTGGATGTTGAGCAGTGTCTTCTGTGAATCTTTGTGTATTTGAACCAGGTGATGCAGACCAGTCGTGGCTCTTTTCCTATGAGGTCTCTTTCTAGGGGTGGGACAGGGAACGGTTGTCACAAAGCCTCGCTGTAGTCATCTGTGGAATACCCAATTCATTCTGCTTCATTGCATTCCATTCTTGACATTTTCTCTTGAAATAAGAAGGCTCAAATTTTTGTGTACTTTTATACAGAATTTGTAAGCTACTTCGTATTTCAAGATTGTATGTGCTCATTTCATGTTCGATGAATGTTATAATCAGTTTAAATGTAGTATTAGAACTTGCCAAATGTTGCTTATAGAAGGAAATAGGCTCAAAGAGATTTAAATGACTTCCCTAAGTTCATAAGAAACTGTAAGTTTCTTCGGGGCAAGGGCTATCTTACTTGAGCCAAGACTCAACTGGTATGAACCAATGGTGTGGGCCTGTTTCCATTCCTGCCCTTGGAGCTTGGAGAGAATGGAGGTGGGGAGAGGTCAGATGCACTGGAGCTACCCACGACGCAAACTGGAAAGAGAAACTGAGGTGCTATTGCTGATAGAATAGAGAACACAAATGCTGGGCAGGCAGGAATGACAGTACCCACTCCTCTTTGCATCCTTATCATTCTAGTAGGCATTCAATCGTATTTAAATATGAATTATTTAAATACTCTTCATATTCCGCATCCAGAGCATGGAGAAATTAGAGGGGCTGCTGAAGTTGGAGAAGACCTCAAGGGGAAGGTTGAACTCAAGTTGGCTTGGGGTAGAGAGCAATGTGGGGAAAAAGGAGGGCACGTGAGCAGAGGGAACTGTGGGCAAAGGATGATGCACCTGGAATAATTAACCCAGTCAGCAGGTACAGTTTTCTTGACTTCCGTAATGTCTTGTCTGCTTTCCAAATTCCCAAGTTGGGGAAGGGTTTTCCTCGGTAAGCCAGTGCCAGGAAAATCATGGCATGATTCCTGTTAGCTAGTCTTCTGCCCACCTCTGCCATGCTATGGACCTCGAGTCTACTTTGTTAGCCATTTTGATTTGCTTACATTATTCCCGGACGTGAGTCATTTGGTATTTGGTCTCATCTGACTGGGGTTTCCTTTCCAGGTGAACATGTTCGTTGAAGGATTCCATGACGCCATTCTCCTCTATGTCCTGGCTTTGCACGAAGTACTCAGAGCTGGTTACAGCAAGAAAGATGGGGGGAAAATTATCCAGCAGACTTGGAACAGAACATTTGAAGGTGAGGATTCAGTCTGTAAGGTGACGACGCTGCAGCCAGTCGAGCTGCTTCTCTGCTGGTTCTGCTTTTCTCTCTCATGACTGTGAGACCTCGCTTTTCTCAGCTGTAAAGTAAGGATAATAAGTCAAGATCACGCCACCTCAAAGGCTTGTTGTGAAAATTAAATGAGATAAAGCAAGTGAAAGTGCTTTGAAAGAGTCCCACTGAAGTGCCTCGTCTCCTTCTGATTGTTAGGTAACAATTCTACGCTCCTTAAAATTAATCACAAGCCTCGTTCACAACCAATGATCAGTTTGCGAAAAGTTCTGTAATCACTTTTAAAAGGAACAATCTCAGATATACATTTCTCTGTTCAAACTTGAATGGTTTCAGATGATGAGCAAGTCCAATTGAAACCCTGCTTTTATTTTATTTTTAAAATGGTGAATATTAGCTGTGGCTTTCTTAAGAGAAGTAGAAGAACAACAACCAAAAAATGGCCCATTATTTCATCACTCAAGCAACCTCTGTTGACATTTAAAAATTGTACAAGAATGAGACTATTCTTGGCTGGAAAATTTAAACAGTATTTAAATGTATAAAATGAAGAGTGACAGTCCACGCCCCCACCCCCTACCCCGCCCCGCAATATGATCGCTATTAACAACTCCCTGTGATTTGGCCTAAAAATATTTTGTGCCTTCTGCCAGCACATATGCATTTGTATTATATCTTATCTAAAAATTTTTCACAAAAGGGATCATGCTGTGAATGCCATTCTTCATCTTAGCGTTTCTACTTATATGTCAAGAATTTTCCATATAAGCACTCATAGTTCAGCACATTTTTAAATGATAGTTCCATATTCTTCCACCGTAAGGCTGTAGAATTTCTTTAACCAATCTCCTACTGATGGACACTTCAGTTGTTTATAGTTTTTGCAGTTACACAAAATACGATCATGAGCATCTTACACATTTTGATAAAGTTTTTTGAGTACATCCAACAGGGAACATTCCTGTTTGTGGGATATCTGGGTCCAAATGTATGTTAGTGCCTTTTAAAGTGCTTTAGATATTGCCAAATATCTTCCAGGGAGGTCTGCTAGTCTGTATTCTTGCTAACAGTGTATAGAATGCTGGTTTTCTCTACCTCATCAGCACTCAAAGAAAATTAATATGAGACTCAGTATGAGAATGGTCCAGCTACTGAAGCCCTGTAGATAGCAACTTCATATTCATTCATTCATTCATTCATTCATTTGTCCATCAAATATCCTTGAACACTGACTGTGTGCCAGGCACAGTTCAGGGTGCTGAGGATTTAGCAGTGAACTAAAGACATTCCGTGCAATCAACTGAGCTTCCACGATTGTGTGTGTGTGTGGGAGGGAACTGGTGATAAATAAAAAAATATGCCTTTTCAGAGGGTATAGAATAAAGCAGGATAGATAGAAAGTGACAGGAGGGATATGGTGGGACTGCTAGTTTCAATAGAGTGGTCAGGGAAGGTCTCTCTGAAAAGTGGCAGTTTGCTAGTGACCTGAAGGAAGTGAAAAAAAAAATATGGAGATGTTTAGCAGAGAACATTAGAAGGAGCGGTCAATGCGGAGACTCTGAGTGTATCTGGTGGGAGAGGGCTGAGTGCCTCCCAAAGAGCAGGGAGGCCCGCGAGGCTGGAGCAGAGCACGTGGGGGCAGTGTGACAGGAGCCAAAGTCGGAGAGGCGGTGGCCGTCGGGTCACGTGGACAAGTTGTGCTGAGGACTTTGGGTTCCACCCTGAGTGAGCTAGAAAGCCATCAGAGGGTTTCGAGGGACATGATCTGTCTTGAGGGTCCTTATGGGAGTTATGCGGAAAAGAAGCTACTGTATGCTAATGGTTATCTTGTGAGAACCACTGACACAGAGTACAAATCATTGGACCAGGGGTCAGGAAACCTGCATCCTAGACACTGACTCTAACTTCAGTCCCTTAGGCTTCTCTTTCTTCCCCTGGACTAAGAGGGTTGGACTAGCCGATGACTGACAAGGGCTCGTTCAGTTCTGCATCATGCTAACTCTTCCTTGGAACTCTTCAGTGCATTGGGGCTATGCCTATATTGGTTTGCAATCCAACTAACATAATTTTCAATGATGGGAACAAGTACTGCCAAGTCTAGGTTTGGGGCACACATTTTTTTTATTAACTGGGACTCTTATCCACTCCACTGATTTATCCTCTCCTAGTTATTAGAAGGGGTAGGACAGTACAAAGGGGCCAAATTCCAGCTAGAATGGTCTGGGTAGCAGCTATGGTGACAATTGGTGGATTTTATTGCTCCATGGTGGTTTTAGTGGATGCCACATCTTACTCAAAACTAGAGTGACATCTGCTTTAACTTTAGACAGATTGTAGGACATGAACAAATAAGCCTCCAGGATTGTCTTGCTCAACCTCTGACTGCTTCAGCTGTGGAGCTGGAATCAAATAGGATAGTTTAGGGAGCATCTTAGGACAGAGTCAAACTTCCCAGAAGTTGTGTCTAATACACTGAGAAACTGGTGTGTGTGTGTGGACACAACCTTGGTAGGCCACATCCCTTTCTTAGCTATTCCTCACTACGTGGTGTGGTCGTTTGTTCTTGGTCTTCTGAGGGAGGTCGTTAAGGGAAGGGCAGGTGCCCGCAATGGCTGGACTTGAGTTTTTTTTAGAGGGCATGGATGAAATTTTCCCTTAAGCCATCTTCCATCTTAGGACCAGGTCTATACAAGTAATATGAAATGAGCCCCCAAAACAATCAACTGTTTAGTTCGGTCTAAACTTAGAATCTCATTTGTCCAAATGTAAAGATGATTGAAGCCAAGGTAAGTTTCCATTTTATTTGCTAAACAATGATCAAGCTGAGGGTAGCCCCCAAAAGAGCTCTAAGAAAAACTCTAACCTCCCTAAAATTAAAAACAATTTTAATTTTAATGGTCACTGTAAGTGACCATTAAGTTCTCAAGGGAAAAATACTCTGGATGTTATTTGACGAATTTAGCTTTTATTACCGAGAAACCTATGACCAACTCTCAACCATGGCCTGGGAAGAAGCTAAATCTCCTCTCTGTGTGAGAGGTCAGAGTGACAAGGTAAATAGGACTGTGGCTCAAACCTTGAGCTCCACTACAGGCCAATAGAAATGAGGGTGGAAAGTCTCATTATTTATGCACAGGAAAGTTCTGCTGTCAACTTGACAATCTCACCTTATGTACAGTACTCTCAGGTGAAGTCTCACTTGCTAATCGGCCACCCTGAGGGTTCCCACCTCATTTCCTGGCAGAATTGTAATAGCTTAAAGTGTAATGAGGTCTTGGATTACGTGGGCCACCTTGTCTTATAAAATACTCTGCAAAACACCATCATAAACCCCTCTGAACAGAATGAAAAAAGGTTTTGGCTAGCCGATGTGTTTAGAGATAAATATACTTATGAAAAAATGACATCTGTGACTTAAAACTTGTGTAGGCTTCAAGGATACACAGGTTTGAGATAGGTGCATCCTTTGTAACCGGTCTGTATTAAGAAGACAAAACATCAAGATGGACGGTAGCTCCATTCTTTTTCTGGCAATGTAGACCAAAGTCTGGAAAAATCAACGGGCTTTCAAACCACAACCCGAGGACAGTAAACCCAAATGCTTGCTTTCTCCAAACCACACTTGAGGATGGAACTTTCCCTTGGGATCCCTTTTCCCAGACATTCATTTTACTTCCGGAGAGAACAAATCAATGGAAACATCAATTAAGAATTACTCTGAACTCTACCGCAGTTTAAAATAAAACAAATAGCCTTAGTTACTTAAAATGTGGCTGACATATGCACTCTATTACTTCGTTTGTGAAAATTACAGTAGACATATTAATATCAACTAGCGATACATATTTGCTTTTATTCATTAGCTGCCCTAAGCCACCGTTGCTAGCTATGGCAAATTCAAGTCCTTCGTGTGGGCACTCAGGGCTCTCCATGCTCTGGCCACCTTGTTCCAGACTTATATCTTGCTGATCCCTTCCATACACATGGACCATCTCCCCAAAAGTTCATGGTCACTCTGCTTCCTTTCAGCTTCTGTGCCTTTGTAAATATTAACAAGACTGGCCTATCTGCCTAGAATAGCCCGATGCCCTGATGGCTGCAAATCACAGACTTCACCAAGGCTCCTATAAAAGATCTGCTTTTTCAGTGAGTCCCCCCTGAGTCTCCAGCAAGATCTGCCAGCTCCTCTTCTGAGTTGTATGTGCCCGGTCAGAAGTCCTCTCTTAGATTCCCGGCAGAGCAATAGTAGTGATAACAATAGAAGAAAACAAATAACTTCTCTTAAATCTGTGTTCGAAGAGCTTTATTTGTTTCATTTCCTCAACAGCCTCTGGGCAGGGAGGTAACCATTAGGACTCTCACAGTCCTGGAGAGTGGAGACCGAGGCTCCAAGGGCACGGTCCTTGCTCAGTGTCACAGAGCTAGTTAATGGGAAAGCTCGGATTCAAATGCAAACCTTCGACCCCACTGCCAACAAGCTAAATCCCTAGTCCAGGCTGCCCACCCACCCTTGAGACGAGAATGTGTCCGATTCTTCTTTGCCTCAGTGGCAGCATTAAATTCAGCACCTAGTAGTCACCTAGAAAACATCTGGATAAACAATGGATGGTTTATTGTATCTGTATGAGGTGATGGGTATTAACTAAACATATGGTGGTAATCATTTCACAATACATGTAAGTCAAACCTTTATGCTATATACTTGAAACTCATACAATGATATATGTCAGTTGTATTTTGATAAAACTGGAAAAAATCCCTATCCCAAAACCCAAAACCAAAACAATGAACACAAGTGGGATAAAGGCTAGCTCTTCTTTAGCTCTTGGGTCCCATGACCCCTGAGGTGCCCTCTGCTCTCTCTCCTGTGCACCGAAGGGGTCCAGATTAAAGCACACTCACTGAGTCCTGGGCCCAGAAGGGTTTCCTTCAGTCGCATCTGTCCTGTGCTAACGCAAACCCATGACAAGTCTAGGGACGGACCACACCTCTGCTTCTCCCTCTTGGCCATTTTATTTTTGTTTTAGATTAATACAAAACTCTGGGATAAGCATGCTGCTTTCAGGATTAGCCTTAATCTTTTTTAAAAAACATATTCCCCCAAGAAGGTCATTTATTTCTTTTTCTTTTCATTTTTAAATGGAGAAATGTTAAGAATTTAGGAATGCAGACACAGATGAAATTACAATGTCTTTCCAAATGCCAACAAAAATGCTCAGCGTCTGATGAGATTCCCTGTGGCATGAGTTTGTTTAAAAAATCCTGTCAATTCATTTTTTTTTTCTTTTTTGGTTTTTGTTGGCAGACAGAAGTATTTTAAGTAACTAACTTGGAGCTCTTCCCATCTCATTCTCTAGGTATCGCTGGGCAGGTGTCCATAGATGCCAACGGAGACCGATATGGGGATTTCTCCGTGATCGCCATGACCGACGTAGAGGCGGGCACCCAGGAGGTAAGGGAGCAAGGCCTCTGCTCCAGCTGCTCCTTCTGCTTACTGAGATTCCAAAGAATGCGTTTGTCCTGGCGTCCAAATAGTTGTCCCCAAGGTAGCCTCCAAACCCGGGGCTTTATGAATAGGGAGGGCTCGCTTCTGGTTGGAGGTATCGGGGAAGGCGTCATGAAATGGTACCATGTTTATCCGAAGTGGGGAAAGCCTACGTTTCCAATGGCCACAAATCACACCTCCGCCATAAGAAGCAGGAAGGATCATTGGATGAGGGGTCAAGTCAAACTGTGTATTTATTTCTTCCCTTAAAATTCAAAACATGTTTTTCCTTTGGACATGTGTGAATATTGCAAAAGATGATGGAGTTTCAGGACAGCCTCCTGAAGGGAAAGTAGTACCTTGGACACAAAGATGAGTTTCTGACACTTCCTGGTGGTGTGAGCTCCCTGCCTCAGTGTCCTTGGCTGGGACACCCTAACGGCCTCCTTGCCGATCTCACATGGTCATTGTGAGTACCAGGTATAACGAAACCTAGACAAGTACTATATAAACTTAAAATGAGAAACATATAAATAAAGATTATACAGATATGCAGTGTTTCAGGTGGAACGATTCTACTTGACGTGGTCGGGGCCTCGGGTATTCTAGTCTCCCCTGCTCCGTAGAAGGTGAGCGGCACCCGTCTGTGAGAGGGTCACTGTGAGGGCTGAGGAGTGAATGTGTGTGAAGTGCCTGGTGAGTTCTCAGTACACACCCGTGATTGTTATATTCTGGAGATTATCTAGAATTCCTTTTACTATGACATAAAATAGCCTGTGAGAGCTTGCTGGAACTCCTTCAGGAGAAAAAGGGGAGATGTCACAGGCCACCCTGGAGCATTATTTTGGTGTCCAGACAAAAGAGAAACCTATCCTAAAAACCTGGTGGGAAGATACTTCTAGGTCAGGCCTCAGGTGGCTGATGAAACAGCCGTTTAAATCACACACTGAAGGAGGACCTTGAACTGAGCCATAAAAGAATACTGCTTTTTCAGGGGCCGGAGGAGACAACTGAAAAAGAGAGTCCAGCCTGGAAATGGCACAAATAGGGTAAATTCGTCAGGGAGGAGAATGTAACCCCTGATGTCTGGACGAGAAATAGCCTTCCAACCAGAGGAGAGTGACACAGGAAGTTCCTAAAAGATATTTCTTTAATGCTCTAATTCCACGCCGAGCTGACTGAGTGGTGTGAGGCTGACCCGCAGTATGCTTAACCTGACTCTGAAAAGGACCCTGACTTTCTCTCACACAGCCCTGAAAGTAGCTTGGGCCTTACAGATGGCTGACCGTGTGGGCTGCTCTGTGGCAGATGGGTGGGGCACCAGCCCCTCTGGTAAGCAAGAGAAAAGCCACGAATTGTGAGATTATTGTTTTCTATATGATGACTTTTCTTGCCTCGAGGAGCCACAGTTCTCCCTAAATTATGCTCACCTTGAGAGAGCACCATTGGCGACTGCAAATCTTGACTTATATAAAGTCCTCAGAAACAGACCGTTGTGGTCAGATTGAATGGTGGACGGGCCCACCCTGTGCCCTGTGCCTGCTTTGGAAACAGACAACATCTTTCATATATATATATATATTTTTGCCTTAATATAGGTTATTGGTGATTACTTCGGAAAAGAAGGTCGTTTTGAAATGAGGCCCAATGTCAAATATCCTTGGGGACCTTTAAAACTGAGAATAGATGAAACCAGAATTGTGGAGCACACAAACAGCTCTCCTTGCAAATCATGTAAGTTTAGAGACTTAATTTGCTCTGTTTCTTCATCTATGGTAATCAGTATAATGCAAGTTTAAAAGACAGGGATTATACAGGAGCTCACATTCTGAAAAAGGAATGTGACCTAGTAAAACCCATGAGACTAGTCACAAACTGGCATCCTGCCTTCATCAGAGGCTTCTAGGTCTTTCTTCTCTTCCATCTTTTTCCAAACCGGTAAAAAGCTTCTCCCTATTTTCACATCTCTTACTTCAATCTTACTCTATGCAAACTTTGAAAATCCGAGTGAGACTTGCTACGAGAGATGAATAAATGAATGACATTTAGTATTTGAGGCTTACCCTTTTAAGGAAAATAAAAATATCAAATACTAGATGTCACTCACTTATTCATCTCTTGTAGCATCTCAATTTAACTTTCAAAGTTGGTAGTTATCCTCTTACCCCTCAGAACCAATCAGATGATGTCTTTTAAACACCTACAAATTTATAAATTGGCAAATAAGTGTAAAATCTATTATTTACAAGCAGCCTGGTCATAAACATAAAAGCAAGTGGATGTTCTTTAAGGAGCTTACAAATAGGAAAGTTGTTGGAAATCATTGCTTTAAGAAGACCCTTTTAATAAAGAAGTTATGATTCATATATACAATATTGCTCAGCCATAAAAAAATGAAATCTTACCATTTGCAATGACATGGATGGACCTAGAGGTTATTATGCCACGTGAAATAAGTCAGAGAAAGATAAATACTATACAATTTCATGTATATGCAGAATCTAAGGAATGAAAGGAACAAACTAAATGAAAACAAGACTCACGAATACAGAGGACATTGACAGCCAGATGGGGCTGGGAGAAAGGGGAGAAGGTTAAAGAGGAACAAATTAGTAGTTGAAAGATGGTCATGGGGGTGAGGAGCACAGCATAGGGAATGCAGTCAGCAGTAATGTAATGGCTAGATGGAGAGCCAGAGGGGCAATGGAGTAATTGGGATCGTTTTAGAAACTATAAATGTCTAGCCAATGTACTATATACTTGAAACTAATAATAAAAAAAAGAAGACCATTTTATAAGCTAGTGAGGGAGAACAAAGCAAATATCGGTCTTTTAGGCCAGTTGGTCATTTTAGGTTAATAAATGTACATGCATTATGTTTTGAGAACAGCCTTCAAATTGTGGGGTATTTATGTGTATGCAATAACTGCAGGAATGAGTAAGGCAGATATGTGTTAAGAACACAATCTCTGGAGTTATTGGGCCTGGATTTGAAGTCCTACCCTTGTCACTTATTGGTTTTGAGACCCCAGGAGCATTCTTTCACTTCTCTAAGCCTCGGTTTTCTCAGATGTAAAATGAAGGAAATGTACCCAACTCTTAGGACTGTTTCGAGGGTTAAATAAGATAATGAATTAAAAGCTGCGGCCTGAACTCTTTACAGACGAGCTAGCTGTTTATCATTTTTATATAATAAATGGGACACCACTCAACTAGATTGTTTTAAATTGTTACTCACATTTTCACAAAGCTATGTAGGACATTTTGACATGAAACTCTGGCTTTGGTGAGAGAACATCTAAAAACAGAACATTAACCCAATGAATTTTTCACCAAATCTTCCAGCACTTTGAAGTGTCAGCATCCATCTGTGAAAAGAGGACGTGCTGGGTCAGTCTCATGGTCTAGCCAGTGTCCTCTCTGACTATAAACTTCAAGAAGTGTGGATAGATCTGAAAACTTCGCTTTCCAGTTTTCCTCAAATCCTTCTGGAATCTGCTTTCCTCAAATTCTTTTTTATTCCCATGGTGCTTGCTTATAGCAGTGTGTTTGTTCATCTAGTACTTTCTTAAATACTTCTTAAGCTTTGTACTTGGAAAAACAAATGCAGGATCCCCTAGAAAATCTTTCTTAAAAAGAAAGGAAAATTTGCCTCAAGTGAAAAATTGAGAAATACCTTCTAATGAATGAAACTTTTCAAAGAATGAAAAATTAGAATCAGACATTTCTCACTTGAGAATTTTAGACATCTCTAAATTGAGCATGAGACATTCTCACAATGAACGCTGATTATCTATGTTTCTTTTTCAAGCAGGTGGCCTAGAGGAATCAGCGGTGACAGGAATTGTCGTGGGGGCCTTACTAGGAGCTGGCTTGCTAATGGCCTTCTACTTTTTCAGGTCAGGACCTCTTGATAGGGTTTAAAAATTCTACTTTATTGCCTTTGTCACTTGCTTTTGCATGATCCCTCTTGTGAGTTGTTCGTATCTTGCTGTTACTCCCAAAGCATGGCAGTTAGAAGAACAAAGCCACCTTTGGTGTGACCTCGGATTTGGTGATCAGTAAGCTCGCACTTGAGGGAGTGGGGCAGGGGTTTCTGTTGCAACCCCACTGTAGGCCACAGAGTGGCTGCTGTCCTTTGATCACAAATATTCTGACCTGAATTCCTACCAGTCACCCCATGTGTACATGGAGAGGGAATCTGGACAAAGGAGAAATCAATTACCCCATTCTCAGGCTTCCTCTAGTTCAGAAATAGGTGCCTGGGTTTACGTGCTGAAGAGGAGGAGGCAGCTCTGAGTGGTCCATGCTCTCAGGCTGGTCTATACTCAGTATTTCGAGGACCTATACACTCAGTTACCACTGTGGGTAAGCCCTAAGGCTTTTAAAATTGTAATATTTCTGTGTGTCCAAGATACTGATAGTTTCACATCACGAGGGTGATCCATTCCTTTGTAATCTTTGGTGGCTGAGTTTGCTGCTTATTCTTAAGTCATTAGACCCGGATTTCTTTATTTCTGCATGGCAATGTAATTCTGAGTGTATGTGACTCTTTGTGGGAACAACTGTCTTCCTGTTCCTCTGGTCACAGTACATTTAATCTGATCTTTATCTAGGGCATATCCTGGGAACTGGAGAGAGCATCGGTGGTAGAATAGACAAGACTTAAACCACCAAGGCACCCAGGGAAGAAGGGGCCGGCTTGTTCTGTGGCCTTTCAGAAAGCAGGCCAACTCTCCTCCCCGAACAGGGCGTAACGCCTTGGGGCACACGACTTCAACCTCTGACCCAGGCTTCATATTCTGTCACTTCTCATTTATCAACCCAAACCCAGATGTCCCTTGAGGGCATTCTTTGTAAGAGAAACCATAGTATTTTGTAGCCAAGTAAGGTTTTATTACTACATTCATTTTCCCTTTTACCCAGGAAGAAATACAGAATAACCATTGAGAGGCGAAACCAGCAAGAAGAACGTAATGTTGGAAAACATCGCGAGTTACGGGAAGATTCCATCAGATCTCATTTTTCCGTGGCTTAAAAGGAAAGCTTTTCTTCTGGCCTGAGATTCTTTAAGGAGATTGATGGGATGAAAGACATCAATGGAACAGAAGGGGTGCTCTTGAAGAACTCATTCTTTTAAGCAGTTAGTCATTTTATTGTAAAATTTCTTTAGAAGCTCAGGAATTATTAATCACCACATGCCCCTCTGGCCTTTCATGTCATGACAAACAAATATAAGGATATAACGTCACTCTGTTAAACATTTATACTGTTTCAAGGGCATAGGATTAGATTTATGTTTTGGAAATCTGATGTCTCCATATCTTGATGGCTTTGGGGGCATTTCACACAAGGCTATAAAATGTGGTTTTCTTAAATGAAATGTTTTATAGCTAGAATAAAATCATTTTTATAAGTAGAATATTCTTGGAAAGAATTTAACGCCCAACAAGAGGAAAATGTAATGAAAAATCTCAAGGCTAGAAATACAGCGTTCCTTTCTCTCGTGCTGGCAGGTTGGAGGGGGAGGACTGCTCTGTCCGATCGCATACATTCAGGTCCTGACTTCGTATCTTGAGAAAAGAATTTCCTCCCTGTCTCCTTCAGTGTCTCATAGAAGCTGCTCTGGATAGTCGTAACTATTAATGAGATAAGAGGATTTATACAAGAAAAGCCAATCTAAAATGTTTCAGTTTTTTAAATGTAAAAAAGCCCTATTTCACACTAACATTTTATTTTAAAGTATTTTAATCTTCTATTTTGCTATTAGAAAATGTGTCTATTTTTTCATTATGAAGATTTAATTTCACCTATATTTTAAAAGCATAGGTAAAGTGTACAACAAACCAATGATGATGAAAGATGCTTCTCTTTTTCTCCATTTCCCTCCTCCCCTTGGCCAGAGCCAAATGCACATTGCTGCTTAATTACAGAGATCTCAAAACGTATTGAGATTATAGACTCTACAGGAGTGCATCGATTTACCTGTTTTAAATGCAAGTTATTTTAGGGATGTACCCCTTCCAATTCTGGCCACACGATAAGTTTCAGAATCAAGGGTGACATTTACTAGAATTACAGGGAGTTAGAAACTTGAGGGGAAGCACCAAAGTGATAAATTAAAAAAATTCATACGTGACATTTTACTGAAATTTACAGTGACAATTTTGGTTTAAAGAGGAAATCTAATGAGCCTCTATCTTCTCTTTCCTTCGACTCCATGGAGCTTTGTAATCACCCACCAATAACCCGTCTAACAGTGGGTTGGGTGTGGATATAAGGAATTTGAACAAAGTCGAAAAAGTATTTACTGAATATCTACTTTGCACCCAGTATTCTGCACACAGGTTTAAATTCGGGGTGCCACTTTCACTTATAATTTGTGGAGAAAATAGACAGTGAGGGAAGAATGGGAAGTTGCTGGATGAGCATACCACCTTGTAATTACGTCACCAGGTCCTTGGTGACATTTTGAGTATGTGGAAAACAGTTTTAAAAGTTATCTTAATGTCTACAAAAGGCCATGTGTAGGGAGGAAAATAGGGGAGTTTGAACAATTCCTTGGTAGTGATGGAGGTGATAGTTCACACAGGTAATGGCGGAGGCAGAGCGAGTGAAAACCGCGAGCATTGGAAGCTGGCCCCGGCTTGCTCCCACGGAGGAGTCTGCCTCTGGCACTCCTACTTCAGCCAGTCAAAGCAAATGGGTTATCTCTGAGCGAGGCATATTTCCCCTTTATTGTTTAAAAATGGATTGCAGGCAGCTGGAGAACATGATAAAAGAATGAACTATGACCAACTGAAACAACTAGGTCGTAGTCCTCCATGTTGGATGCAAAGGAAAAAGTGGTGGATTCGAAAAAAGGTGGAAAGAGAAGGCAAGAGAGGCAAACCGCAGAAACTCTAATGTAGGAAGAGAAACTGGGAAGCAAAATCCTGGAGAGCAAAGCGTTTAACAGCTCGAGGCTCTTCAGAGTGAAAACAGAATGGAAGGTTTGCATCCATTTTATTTTTGTGAATTGAGAGCTTATTTCTCTCTCATTTTTATTTTTCAGTGATGTTTTCCATATATTTTATCTTGTGTTTGTAAAAACATTAAAATTTCAAGCCTATGTGCTTATTACAGGGGGAAAAACACTCTACCTGGTTGCAGTCTTTGGATACAAACGTTTCCGACCTTTCTAGAACCTACGTAGGGGCCCAGTGTTAACTCTAACATTTTAAAAGCAAATATCTTTTATTTCTACTTTAAGTAGAGGAATAATTCTAAAGTTAAAAATCATAAGAATTTAGTCTTTTAAAAACGGCACAACAAATCGCGGGGTTTCTCATATGTGGATGCCATTCTCTTCCAGTCTTAAAGCAGTTCTAGGGTTCTTAATGTTGATTGTGTATTAACATCTCTGTTTATTCTTTCTTCCTCGAAATCATCAAAACTCTGGTAACTTTTGAAAACTCCATTAAGTTGGAAATCTTTGTTAAAAGCATAGGTGTTTGGCCCAAGGTTACCCTGGGTTAAGGCCTGTGGAAATGACAATTTGGGATTTAAGTTCCTAACTGCTAAGCAACATCTTTGACAACTAGTCACTCACAGTCCACCAGTAGCCGCATATCATATAGTAAAATAATTGGGGCTTTAGTTCTTAAATCATTCTGTAAATTTTTAGCATGTTCAGATTTAAAAAGGGATACTCCATCAGTATTTTCTCATCTGGCCAAACATCAGGTGACCTTTTGATACAGGTCAAAATGAGTATATACTTTTTGTACACATTCGTGGTGTTGGAAATAAGTGTAGGTTTTATGGCTATTATTGTCACCTTCTTAGATTTTTTTTCCTGGACTCAGAAATGAAAGCTTTCCCTAGATGAACACTTGTACCCAGAAAGCATTTTCTGTATAGCGTGCCTTTCTTCCCCAAGACTGACTCCCGGTTCCACGAGGAAGCCCCTACATTATACTTCTTAGAAGAGCCATTAACTTGGCCTTTTCTGTACCACAGATATGGTTCTACAGGCTTTAAAATAGTTCTTTCCATTTCAGAAGTGATATTTAATGGAGGGAAGGGAGAAATGTATGGAAAGAGGATGCCTTCTTTTCTTCTCTTCCTTAAATTCAAAGACTTTATATCCAGATGCTTCTCCCTATTCACAGGCTTTTAGGGTCTTAAATGTCTTCAAGGCACCTGTGTCCTCTTTGCCCTTGATGAACTACTTTCCTTCTGGTTGTCGCTGATGTTGGCAGTGTAAGGGATGCCGTTAGCGGGGAGATGAAGGCCACTGTATAGATCTCATATGGACAGTGACAGGAATTCAGAAAGTAGGTTCCAGTGACATCACCTTCTTGTGAGTGAGTATACAGTGGCTATTTGTGGAAATCTGTTTAGGAGACCAAATAGAATATTATGCTACTGGTATTAAGGGAGTATTTATAAGCTGAAAGGAACACATGCCTGTGTTTCTAAGTTCTTTTGGGACACAAAGAACTTAGATGCTGAGTGGATGCTGTCATAAAGCCAAATGTTAACCAAAATTCGGCTGCTTGATCTGTTTCATGCGTTTGTTTAGTTATTGCTGTGAGGTTCAGTGCATCATGAAGAAGCTGATAATGAACTGAATGAACTTCTTTAGTGGAAAAAACTGAAATTGTCTAAAAACATGGAATACGTTTTAGGGGCAGTGTGGCAGCAGAGAGAATGAGATGGTGCTGTTCCGGAAGCTCTGTTTCTCTTTCAGTTGATCTTTAGAACTTGGAATAACCAATAATTTAGTCCCTCTTCAACAGCCAGACTCAACAAGAAGCTTGGGCACACCCAGAAAGAAGAATCAGGAGCTCGATTCTCCAAAAGAAACAGAAGAGGGTACAATTGCACACTGCCACTGTCTTTACCACCCCGTCCTCTCCCACACCCATCCCCCCTCCATTACGGCTCCAGGGATGCGTCAGCATCTCCCCAGGCAGGCGGAACTTGTAGTGGGACCTCCATACTTCCTCAGAGCGTAAGACGACAACACGGTGCTGGCTGTAAGAATGGAGCTGGTTTTTGATCAGAACCCTTAAGCTAACGTGACCACACATGCTCTGGGATAGTTCAAGCCTGTGATGTGCAGAGACTCCAACAAGCCTGGCTTTGGTCTTCAACAGGTCGAGCTCATCCATAGCTCTTGCAGACATATCCCATAGCTAGACTCTAGGATTAAAATGACTTTCAAAAAGTGCTGGATTAGAATTTGTTCAAATTTCTCATTAACCACTAATGTTAATTCATACCAAAGGCAAAGCAATTCTAAACCAGCTGATGCTGTTAACGTTCATATTTTCATCTACTTCAGACACGGGAAGGGTTTCTATGGGAGCCGAGTCTCGGAAGTAAAAATCCATACATTGTACTAGTACTTTGATGTATCAGGTGTGGGATGATTCCCAGGGGAGAGATTTGAACAAGTGGAATTAAGAGTTAGCAAAAATGCTGCATTGCTTTGAGTCACGTGTTTCAAGACCTACATTTCTATGCAACAAGGAATAAAGGGCCCATTCACCAAGTGTAAGTCACAACATAGCCCACCAAATTGTTTCTTATTTGCTAAGAGAACAAAGCTATTGCAGCACATAATAATTCGGCAGAGAAGGTTGATTTGGATTTTGGAAGGAAAATTTATATTTCGAAGCAGGATGTTCTGGTTATCATTCAATGCCGAGATCTGACAATGTTCACTGTGGTGTGTCTTACGTACGAGACAGCAATGCGGTGCCCTGGAGAGCTGGAAGGCGCTGTTGAGTTTGCAGACCCTTTCGCTGGGCCCTGGGGATCCGAGGTTTGTTCCCTGTGCACGAGGAATGGGCGAAACCAGGAGGGCATGGTGTAGGCACTGTGGAGGATTACTTCTGCAGCCCTGGTCTTCTGGGCTTTGTTATTCATTGTTAATTTAAATATAAGATTACCAAACAATACAAACCTACCATAAGTCCGGTAGAAAAGTATAAGTAAAAGCTGCACAAGCAACATACAGCTTATTATTCTAATGTAAGTAGAACTATCTGCATATAATGTGATTTAATTTATTGTTGTGTAGAAAATGAGAATTCCTGACTGTGGATATAACCCCTGTTTTGTATAATATATTTTATTTCTGGTGCAAACTGGTCACTTAAAGTACCTATTTCATTTGGTATTGGATATAAATGTGTATGTGTTCTTGTAAATGTTTCTATTAAGCAAGAATGCCACATGCTCACAGTATAACAACGTGTTCTCATTAAAAAATACATCCCACTGAAAGCTTTTCTTGTTCATAATTCGAGCAACCACACACTACATATATCCATATTCTCTGAGGACTTTCTATTCTCCTAGGATGAGTTTAAGTAAAAAATCAATTGGTGGATATGATAAACTTTATTGTTTGGATGGTACCTCTGAAAGAACTCAAGAATTTCTGCCCAGCAAAGGGAAATTTACAGAAATAAAAAAAAGAATTTATTTTTAAAATGAGGAGTCAACCTTGAATTGGCAGGTAAGGGAAGTAATCTTCATGAATAATATTACCTTGAGTCTCTGAAGTTTGAGAACTTCAGTTACGTAGCTACATAGTTGGCTTCATCAACCTCATTGTGATGTCCCTTACCCACTTTGAAGAGCTCCTCAGTTAGTTTTGTCACTCTTAAGAGCAGCGTACTAAGCAGACTAACCCTCCTCAAGCATCGTCAGTTGCCTCTGGGTTGTAAAACATTGCTTCACTATCTGGGAAGTTAAGGTTTATTTTAAGCCCCAGAAACACATGGCGATTCTCATGGTCGGAGCAATGCTCCCCTTGTCCTTCCTGCTGCCCCCACCACCGATGAGGTCTCCTGAGAATATAAGAGCCACTCATACTGGCGCTGGTGCTTGAGAAGGAGCTGCCACAGGAGGCTGACTTGGGGGTGGGGGTGGGAGTGGGATGAGGGCAGGGTAGGGGGCACTGCGGGAGTGAAAGGTGGGCCGGGAAACCTCCAGGAAACACGGGATGTCTTAGCCCATTCGGGCTGCTGTAACGAGCACCGGACTAGAGGGCTTACACAATTTATTCCTCACGGTTCCGGAGGATGTGGTTCCTGGTGGGGACTTTCCTCCTGACTCGTAGATGCTATCTTCTTGCTGTACCCTCACATGGCCTTTCCTAGGTGTGTCTGTGAAATGAGGGGTGGCGGGAGCAGGGGAGAGGGGATCTCGTGTCTCTTCTTCTAAGGACACTAATCCTATCGGGTCAGAGTCCAACCTTTAGGACCTCATTTAACCTTAATTACCTCCTTAGAAGTCCCGTCTCCAAATACAGCCATACTGGAGGACTGGGCTTCAACCTATGAATTTTAGTGGGGCACAAACATTCAGTCCATAACACAGAGTATTCCCACTACTTTCCCATATTGCCTTGGGGACCATGGCTTCCTTGAATCTTTCCACCCCATGTCTTACGTCCCCATCTGTCCTGCACTTCTTCATACATACCCAACGTCCTACAATGGGCCAAAGTTGCCTCATGACTGTGGCTAGAGGGGGGTGTGTGTCCCTAAGAGGAGCCCTAGGGAGCTCCAAACACCATGGATTCAGGGCCCCACCCTAACCCTAAATCATGGGCTTCTGGGGTTGACTTAAATAGAAACTACTATTGGATTGGGAGAGGTACCAATGGCTGCGTGTCTTTAAAAAAAAATAGCAATTTAATGAACCATCTATTAGCACCAAACTAGAACCAAGAAAAATAGTGCCTTTTGCAGGCTTTGTGCACCCCCGACCATTACTGGCTGCCGAAGCTCTATCGTTTCCATTTCGCAGATGAAGACACACTGGAGCCAGACTCCTCGGGTTTATAGCCTGGCTCTGCTGCTTGTGGCTGTGCAGACTGGGTGAAAATGGGGATAATCATAGTTCCAACCTCATGGGGCTGCTGTGAGGACTTCAAATTTAGCACATAGTGAAGCATTCAAGAGAGTAATTATTATACTCTCCCGTTTCCTTGGATGAGGAGACGAAACCCTCAGTTGGCCGTTTTTGAGCCCTTTCAAGATGACGGGGCTTGAGGACAAGCCGTCTTTCCCCTCTGGAGAATGAGATGAGAGACGACGAGGAGGAGGCCTCTTTTCTGTACACTGTCCCTCTTCCAAAGGGTCCAGACGAGGGCCCAGAGGGGGCCAGTAATGGCCACATTGCCTCCGGAGCTCAGAGGGCCAGCCAGAGCAGTTTCATTCACATCTGTCTCCTCCAAAGAGTGGAGGCACCACAGCTGGACCGGGGTCACACCTGCCGCACACCTCTGGCCCTAAGAACCGCTCCCTGGACTTCACTCCCCTGGGAAAATGACGCGAGCAGCTCTGATTGGTCAGAGCAGCGCCTTTCCCCACAACGTAAAGGACCCTCGTGTGTCCTAAAGAACACCTTCCCCTCCAGCGGCTGCCGCTCCCCAGGAATCCTTTGAGAATGCTGAGATTTTGTCCCAGCAGTGCAGCCATGGCTCCTCATAAGGGTGTCCGTGGCTGAGGGGATTTCCTAGTGTAGACAAAAAGGGATTCTGATCCCACCACTACTTCAGTGGGCCAAGAGAGACCAAGCGTCATGCAGGCTGGTGGGAAATGACTGCATCGAAGTCACAAAGTTCCGGGGACTTATGGAAGCCTTCTTCTCCTGGGCCTAGAGGCCACAGACCAGACAGAGACAAACCACTCTTCCAAAAGGGCCTCTCACAGTCAGAACGGGGTCGAGTAAGCACGTGTGAGGCTGCGTTCCAGGCTCTCCACATCCTATAGTGCAGTGGCCAGTGCTGGGTGCCCTCTGATGGGGGCGTGGACCCGCTTCACGGAATGCTTGAGAAAAACCAGCTGTGCGGGGGAAGACCTGGGCTCTCCCCTGAGAAGCCTCTTGGGTGGTGTCAAAGGTATTTTACGTTTTCAGGAAAAAAATCCAGCCAGAGACTGTATCTAAATAGAATTTGCCACTTGGGATCTTAACTGAATACCACTTTATGACTATTCTCAGCATTTTATTCAGGAGTAAAATGAAGAATGAGCAAGAGCACACGCCCTCCTCGATGCAACTATGGGAGCGCCAGACAAAACCCGTGCCCCAGCCCAGATCCTACGAGTTTCTCTTTGTCCTCCTCACATCCCGACTAGTCAAGCGATTCACAAGTCACCTTCAAACCAAAACAGTTGGCAGCGCAAACGACTCAGCCCACTGCCTTCCCTTCAAAGGTTTTCGTAGCTGTGCCTCAAACCTCCAGCCCTGCTCACTGCCCTCCCACTACCCTCTCGCTCTCTGCCTCTGAGAGGAGGCCACGCTCTGTCTGTGCAGTGTTACCTCTTTTCTAATAAACTTTCCTTTTGACTCTAAAAACGAAACGAAAACAAAACAAAAAAAACCCCCCAACCCAAAAACCCCAGCCTCCTGTGTTGAACTTTGAGCAACAGTTATAAGCAGCTTCTACAGTGAAACAAATCGCTATTATTATCAGCTTGTAATAATAACAGTAATGATAGTGGTAATAATGCCACAGCAGGTTAGAGACGTCTACTTAGTGCATCCCCTCCAAATAAAAACATGAAAACATTATTTTATACTCCTTTAAGTCTTTTCTAAATTGAGCTGTCTTGACTGAAGAGACGTAAAGCCCTTGATGCCAAAACCCTGCATCAGTGCGGATGCTTTTCTTGAGTTCGATTCTCATTTCCACCCATCCAAGATCCCATATCTTCTCTTTCAAGTAAGCTTTGGCCAGATTTTATTTAAGAACTATTGCCATTCCTGGTTCACATCTGTCATGGAAAAGATGCCAAAGCCGCCGGTTGTGTGCGGTTGCTTCGTGAGCTGCTTGGTGAACACAGCCATTCTTAAAAACTGAATTACATAAACTTACAACTAAATTTTATTGTTGAAGTGAAGGTTATAAATACTCAGAACATCACTTTCCAATTTTTTCATTACATTTTACTATTATCTATGTATTTGAGGTTATTTATATTTAATCTATCGGTAAAGTATCCCTATGGAAATACAAAATCATGGTGTGCTACTGTATATCGCTTCCCAGCTCCGCATTCAGTGACATCACAATGGTCTCTGGGAAGGGGCCATCGACGAGTATTCATGCCGTGGAAATCAACAAACGCTATAAACCATGGTGTGTTCCCGTCACGGACCTGTCTGTCAAGTGCATATCAGCACACCACTGTCTACCATTCTCTTCTTCCTTCCAGGTAAACCCAGAACTCAATCCATGAATGACGCTTCTCTTTCACAGAGAAGGAAATTGAAGTTCTGAGACGTTAAATGATCAGTTCGAAATCTCACAGCTGGTAAACAGTAAACCCAGAACTAAAGCCCCAGGCTTCAAAAGCCTACCTAGTGCTTTTTTTTTATGCTAGAAGATGAAGAACATCTCAGACCCTAAAAAGAACTTTGAATGTTAGGACGAACTTCCCAGCTTAATAATGGCCCTGCCAGGAGAGCAAAGATTTTGATTCCTGTAAGAGAAATCCTTAAAATACAAAAAACGCTCTTATGGTTGGCCTCAGCTAGTATTCCCAAATTGTTATCTCATAAGAAACCCTCAGTATTTTAGTGAGGTTTGTGTACGCACTGCCCGTTAGGCAATGGGAAGGGGAGGGTGCCACAAACGAAGGAGAATCACGAAGCATCTGACAATCGGCAGCTGTGCGGTTGAACCTTTTAGATCTCCCCCAGTTCCTCCTCGATTTACAGCTTCCACCCCACACACCACAAATCCATACATGGCACATGTGGTAAAGTTGGAAACATGATAAAAAATTTAGAAAGTAAAAATTCAACGAGGAACAATCGAAATTCAATGAGAATCGATTGAAATACAGTAAGACTTCAGTCCATGTCTGTTTGCATAATACTATCTCTTGTGACATTTGAAATATTGTATTTATAATGTAGAACCAATCTAAGCACACTCATAGTAGAGCAGAGAAATTTTACAGGCTCTCTCAAGAATAATGAATGTAATTTCCTAAACAGAATGAGACATCTGGCATCGACCTCCGTTTTGTGCTATAACTCTCAGAGAACCACCACTATCTCTTTTTAATCTCTTATAGAGCAAACACTTTTTAATATACTTAATTTTATCCTATACAATTAATAAAATATATGTAGTAATTGGTAATAAATTAATGGCTTGCCTCATCTTTATAGGATGTTTTTTATGTGGCCCAGCTCCTGCCCTTGAAGGACAGGTTATTTTTCTCTCTCTACCTTCACTGGCCAAATAAGCTCCGTGCCTC